TTCCAGTAGCACACAGAACACAATCAAACACAAAATATTCTCCTTAGCTCTACCTCATCCTTCGCCTTCACCTCCTAATATTAATATTAAGCCCCTTACACCTTCTACAACCTCTCACTCTGCAGTCATTGCCAATGACCAAAGTCTTCGAAACCTAAATCCTAGTCTCCTAAGACCCTGCCATCGAAATCATGCTCCAGCTTCCAACGTCCGAACTCTATACCAAATCGGATTGTATGCATCACTCTCCTATAATCGGAATCTCTAACCACGAATGTATGCTTTATATTTCTGAGACACATATACAGGACCGGAGAGTGGTTCTTGAATTCAACTCACCTGGTCATAGCGTGATGGGCGTTGCTGATAAGAATGGACAAAAGTAGTATATGTTGAGAGGGCAGCAGAAATCATAGGAAATTACCAGTAATGGGTAAGGATTCTACCAAGAGAAACACAAGAGACAACGTGGGCGTATCAAGAGAAAATCAAGAGAGTAGCAGAAAGCGAAATGAAGCACACTGTGTAAATGACTGTCTTGGCCCAAGGTGTACCATATTTAAGGACTACTGTGCCACATGTTAACAATGAACAGTCCTTCCTTCGTCTCTGTCTTCTCGTCTCCTTTCAATAGTAGTGAATCTTCAAAATTCACCATGAGTATACGGAGAACCAGTGGATAGCTATATGCGACTCGCTACAGTAGGCATAACATTGACCAGTAGGACACAAACTGGAGCTTAGTAAACGTCATTGGATTTCTGCAACATCATCCACAGTGACTGATGCCAGAAGACTCATTTCAACTGGCTCCAACCACAATGAAGAGTGAATGCAACTTCAGCGCAAACTCATCAAGAACCTTCGCGTTGATCGCAAACAGTGGTGAGTGGCAAGACAGGGAGAGATAGAGAAGGCAAGAACGTTGGATAACACTCAGGAAATATTCAGGCTTGTCAAGGACACCAGAAAGAAGAAGACAATGGTAAGTGAAACCATCACCGGAAAGGATGGCACCCTAATAACTTCACAGGGCAGACGGCTAAAACATTGGACAGAACACTTTGAAGCACAGTTCAAATGGCCCTCAGCAACGCCTCATTTGTCCAATGTCCAACCTGAACCTGAATGAGACGCAGATGTCGGTATTCCAACTCTCTTTGAAGATGAGAAGGCTGTATCGAACCTGAAACGATGCAAAGCACCAGGACCTGACAGTTTGCCACACGACGTTTTCGAGGATGGAGGTAGGAGATCGCTAATTAAAGTGACGGAGGCACTAGGCAGTGTATGCAAACTAGTGGTAGTCCCATCACACTGGTCTACTTCTCCAATCATCCCAGTCTACAGGAAGGGAGAGAAGTCCTCCTGTGACAACCAAAGAGGAATTAGTTTGACTAATATTTTGCCCAAGATCCTAGGGGAGCATAGTTATCCAACGCCTATCTGGAGCTCCACTTGAGAACACTAAACTAGAGAAAACTAGGTAGGTTTCAGACCTGGGCGGGAGTGCATTGATCATGTCCTCACCCTCCAATAATTCCTGGAACACAGGCATACCTACCGACCAATGGTTGACACTTGTCATATATCTTGATCTGAGGGCTGAATTCCACTCTGTCAACCGTGAGGTGATATGTTAGTGTCTGACTGTGAAAGGAATACCAAGTAAGTGTAAAACGCTAGTGGAAGCTATCTACTTGAACTTAGTAGTGCAATGGCTTATGGAGAGTTATCTTCAGAATAAACGACAACTAGTGGTGTCCGTCAAGGAATTCCACTGTCATCGTTTCTATTTGACATCGTTATCGACTAACTAACGGACGTAAGCTTAGTTATCTTTGTTTTCACAGGTATTGACCTACTGCCTGGAGGTCATCTAGTTGACTTGGAGTATGCAGACGATGGTGTCCTGCCAGGTGAAGACATTGACAAAATGAAAAGTCTTCTGGACGTGTTGAGCGGGAGTCTGAATATGTTTGACATGCATTTCGTTGGCACCTATGAAATGTGAGTTAATGCTCCAGAACTGGTTTGTAAATACTCAGTTTAGTGATAGGGAGTGAAGTGCTAGAATATGATGACCACTTCCTTTACTTGGGGAGTTGCATCAACCGAATGGACTGGCTGCTGATGTAATCTCGGCTTGGATACAGAAGGATCGTTTGGACATTGCCAAATCGTGTCAACTGTGGTCCCGAGTGGTGAGATATTCAACCATCTATCCAACGACGAGTATACTGCGCTGCTGGAGGCCGTTCCATCCTATTTTACCGCTGTGATATATAGTCGTTGAAAGTAGAAGACATGAATCGATTACTGGGTTTTGATCATAGGTGTCTTCGTAGCATTACTCGCGCTTGGCGGAATCACCATGTGAGGAATGTTGAAGTCAGATGAAGTGTACTAGGCAAGTCGATTGACGAGGTTGTGAACAGTCATTGACTGACATGGCTTGGACATGTGTTGCGCATGTCGATCCACCGCATACCTTGACGTGAAATGCTAGATGAAGTTGAATCAGGCTGGAGGAAGGCTTAGGGTAGCTATATCAAGGCGTGACACCAGTCCATGAAGTCTATGACTCTGACTCTCGAGACTATAGTAATCAATGGTTGGAAACTCTTGGTGACCTGGCTGAGAATCAGTCACAATGGCACACATGTATTCACTCTATAACGTTTTCTAAAGCTTGAATATATGGACTAACTTTTATCTTCAAATTGTTTGTTCTCTCACAAAACTTTGTCTAGTTTAACATCACTCTTATTCTATTCACCTGTTCTTTGTTTACTACTGTGAAGTGTGGCAACTTGATCCAATACACTTGTGTGCAGGGTTCTATGTTGATTCTGTCTGTCTGTCTGTCTATCTATCAGTAGATGTAAACCATAACATACTAGTTGACAATGAAGTACTTAAGGTCAACGAATCTTTAACTACATCGTTTCATTAAAAGCAAATGAAGTGTTTTTCAGTTTAGCAATTGAGATTTAAACATGGTGATTATTTTATGGAATATATCTTTTTGAAGACGCCAACACCCGTTAAAATCATAATAATACTTCCTCTCTATGGCGATAATGAAGACAATGATAGCATAGGAAAGCCTTTTTATATGAGGTGTTGATGGGTATTGATTTGTTTCAAAGTAGAACGATGAATAAAGTGTTTAATGACGAACTGCAACATAACAATGTGATCACGTTTATACCAACAAACGAATTTAAACGTCATAAGTCCAACTGTCACAGTTATATTGGCAAACACTAATTAATCACATTCTCATTAATTATTCTAACAACAGTACCATATATTCACAAATAATACTGATACAATGTCTATGATGTTCATTTATATTCACAAGTTTTGTAGTTATAACAATTTCAAAATCGTTATTATCATAACTATTATGATTGCATAAATGACGTCAAGCTGAAATACTTGTATATGCCTAGCTCATATTTTTAATCACATATCAGCTGATAAAGAAATAATTGGAATTATTAACTGCTCATTAAATAAATATCTAAGATGACCAAGAGTGACAAACTCTAATAGCAGCTTAACAGTAGAATGATTACAAATTCGATGATAAGTCAAGACAGGAACAATAATACCCGTTGGAACCACAATTGATCGATCAGTCAGTTTAGAAGATCCAAGCTGACGTGAAAGTGAATTCCACATTAATCATTAGGTCGGTTGTTCTAGGTAGTTTGTTGAATGAGCGATAAGTTGCTCCATTGAACAACTTGTAGTTGGCTTGCAGAGCAACTCTGAAAGGCGCTTAGATATTTGAAGTAGCAGTATGGCAGTATATTCATCTGATTTATAACAACTATATGTCAGCATCATCTTATAGCTTCTTATGAGTGCTAACATTATTATAACTACTTCTGTTTTTGTTAACTTAAGACTTATTGATATTGATGTAACGTATGAAAATTAAAAATGTTACACAATAAATCGGCATCCTTTGAAACTGGTTATTGAACAACAAAAACAGTTAGTACTTTCATCGACATGATAGTTGAGAAGATATTTTACTCATATTAAGCTGAAGAATGATAGTTTATTGTTCGCAAAACCATTCAACCAAACAACAATTTTACCTCCCAATTCTTTAATCTCGCCGATATGACAACTTTATATGAAAGAAAATCAATTTTTCGATAAAAACACAACACTTCTATTCCAGCTACTCAAAAATAAACATAATCAACTGGTCGAAAATCGCTGATATGGTTAAAATGCTCAAAGCTAATTAGGCCAGTAATTGCTTTTGTTTGTTTGTTTGTTTACAACTATTATACTAAAGCCTAACTGCAGTGACATTTTAGATATTAGCTACATTAATTGAATTCTATCGACTAGACAATTCCATTTGTACTGAGTAAGCTAAGTAAAACAATACTGTAGTAAATTGTAGTCAGTCATTTCAGTATGTGAAATTAGTTGCAAATAGTGTTAGACACACTTCGTGTTCAACTGTGAACAGTTGAGATCGATCAGTGAGTTTTATGCTCAAAACCATATACATCTGGCAGCATCATAGCCAAATAAACTACTACAAACTTATTCAAAATGCAACTGAACTCTTGTATGCAGGGCCACACTATCTGAAAAACAAGTAATCTTCACAGATAAAACTATTGCTTTATGATTTCCGAACCAGTAACCTAAAGATGTGGAGCTATGACTCATAGACTTAGGTACTCAACTTTTAAGCATTGTATTCTACGTTCAAACACTCTTCAATCTTACTTCACTAAGAACAAGCCAGTAGTATCATAAGTTTAGAAATCAAGGCTGTACTGGTTAGTCTGACGCTATTAAAAACTGTTAAAAAATTTTCTTACATATACGTAAATGAAGTGATGAAGGGATTCTAGTGCTGGAATGAACATTCAATATTAATTCGTTTAACAGTAGAAGAGAAGGTGTCGTAAAGGCGTCTAGTAAAAATATATAATAATAATGATCATAAATAAACTGACCTGTATGCAACCTGATATTATGTTATCCGTCAAAGAATCAGGAATAACTGGTGTCATTGAAACTTTTGCAGCCGTCAACGTCAGAGAATCACTATTTATTTCTTGTTGTGCTAATTCATGCTGCCTCATCTGCGAAAAATGTTTCTCCCGACTAAAAGCAGCCTGTAAAAGTACCTAGAAATCAAAAAATTGAAATGAAACAGTTAAAACGATCTAATTTTTTACGAGTGAGTAAATATACTTTTGTGTTTAACAGGATTCAAAATTTCGGTGTTATCCCATCAAGCACCGAATCTCCTCTAGTGAATAAATACTCTTAAAAAAGAAAAAGTAGTATCATATCACAAGGAGTGGAAAAGATGTCATGTGAAGGAAAAACAAACACTTGAACAAGGTAGAAATTGTGAATGAGAAAATTAAGTATACATCACTTGATTCACCAATATATAATGTAACACCATGACTGTGAGGTCTACTACTCATAAGAATGTGTGTAGGTAGCATACAGTGTGATGTCGTAAGATGAAGTTATAATTTTTCTATCGATTAATAGAGTTTCTTCAGAAAAAGCCAAGAAAAATAAAAGGTGAAAACAAGGAAGACAAAAGAGAACGAGTGACAGTAGGAAAACGTACTTGAGAATCAAAATGTAGATATCATTTTCATTAGCAGTTTTGACTGCAACAATATTACAGTAAAACTTGGGTACCGTGTTAAAAATCAATTCTAGAATCATATGTGCTCACTTGATATAGAATATATTGGTAAACTATAATTTGTAATGACAAGTTTGGAGCACAAATTATTGCTCATAATCCTAACAAAGCAGTCAAATATTACGTATTTGGCTTCAAAGCCGCTGCATGGCGCTTAAGAGATTAGATTTTGATGCTGAGTGATGATTGAAAATGAAATGAATATTTGGACTGCACCCGGATTCAAACCAGCGACCACCGGTTTCCGGCCCGATCAGTAGGATCTCTTACTAATTTCTGAGCAAACTCTGGAGAATAATTGATCGTTAGTAGTGTTTCTTTGGTAGTTCCAATCATCCTTTCAGTTCTTTTGATTTGCAGAGTCGAACTAACCTATCAAGGTGGGTAGTGCTACTGGAGCATAAGAACTTCGACAAACTTAAAACTGCAACCCAAAAATAGACTAATAATCTAGAAAAATCTCATCTATGGCAGTGCGTGTACGCACACATTAGAGTGGGACAACGCAACAGTACTAAAGGTCGATATGGTTCAGTGGAGAGAAAGATTCATTATCGTATTGTCACTCACTGAGTTAACACAGAATACGTGGGATAGGAATTATGCAACATCTATTCGAGAAATGTGGAAAATTCTATAACTACTAAGAAAAGAGAATATGAGGTAGCAAAACTTTAACAACCATGTGTTCACCTTGATACGATTGTGGGCTATAATGTTTGCTAAAAACTCCTTCATACAAACAATACTGTATCCCTATGCTATATCAAATAAAAAAAGCTAACACAGTGATGAAGACAAACTTTAAACATTTTCAAAGAAGAAGAGGTAAATCACCAAAGTGACTTCTTGTTGACGAGTACCAGGAAGCACAAAACTTAGACCCAATGCATTCTGTCGATTACCTCAAACCATTTACATCAATCTAAGTGTACCGTAATGATAAGTCACTTAGGGTGATAAAGACTGAACAACATGAAATTGGTTGCATTTCAGTTATCAATCAGTGCAAAGAGACTCTTTTAGGTGGTTTCATTCACAAAGCTATACAATTACAATTATTTACAATTTTCGGTGAGCACTCCTAGTATGTTAGGTACCTGCAATAATTTGTTGGGTATAGTAGCAAGCAAGATCACAATATCAAAACTGTTATGAATAGTGAAGTTTGATTAAAAATGGAACAGAAGTTACAACAAAATTATCCGAATCACATGAGGTGTTGAGTAGCATGCATGAGGAGAAATTACGTAAGAATTGGGCAAAATGAAAAAGTGGAGTAATATCAAGGTAAATATAAAAAGCAAAAGAAAAGGCTAACTTTAAATTACAACTATGGGAGAAAAGGTTGACTAGGCTTCTTTCGTATACAAGGGTCAGGATCTTCCAAGCAGGATGGCTGATCCATAGATACAAAAGAAACTTAACCAACCCCTTCTTGTCATCTTTTTGTCTTGTTTTTGCATTTACTTTGAAATCGTTCTCCTTTCTCGTTTTGTTCACATCTTACCCAATTTCTGTTTCTATGCTCTTTCTGACAAAATCTGATCTCTTGTCATGTTAAACAATACTTCATCTGAATTTAATAATTTTGCTACAACTTCCATCACATTTGAATTAATCTTGACTATTCACAACAGTTTTGATATTGTGATCTTGCTTCCTACTATGCTTAACAAACTACTGCAACTACCTAACATACTAGGAATGCTCACCGGAAATTGTAAACAATTATGATTGAATAGCTTTGTGAATGAAATAGCCGAAGAGTCTCGTTGTTGAGTTACTTGTTTTTCTTCTCTCATATTCTGATGGGTATTTTAATACCTTACGAGTGCCGCTTATAGTTTGCTAAATAAACTATTTCATCTGTCTTAACAGTGTTGTATGCTTCAGATATACACACATGCACTTTTCTACTAATTTACAACAAACATTAAAATGGTATTCTATGAGTTTTGTATAAGGACTTCAGCTACCCCATTATAAATGACGTAATGATTACATATCAGACAGCTGGAACATCTACATTTCTGTATGCACACAGACTAACTTATAAATTAAACTGTGAGGTTTATTTGACAACTAGTGATGAGATAGACACGAAAAGCGTCGAACTTCACAAATTATATTACAACAGAACAAAAATAGGAAGACTTCAACATCAACAAAAAGTACATGAATGGAAAAGGAATGAACAAATGAAAGTGATAAGGTGTTTAATAGCTTGAAGTCCATTTTGATAAATTATCTATGGTCTAATATTGATGAGTCTGAAAATTTAGAAAGCTCTAAAGAGAAAACCTTTATGGCTTAAGTCAACAGAAATTGACCACATGGATAGGTGTTATGACTTTATATTCCTAACCTTAGATCTCTTTAAAATTCACCATGAACTGAAACCAGTTGGAGAACCATTGGAGACCTGGAAGCTCTGGACAGATGTTTCGTCCCAGTATGGGGCTCCTCAGCTGTCCAAAGATGCCAGGTTTCCAATGGTTCTCCAACTGATGTCAGTCCATGTTTAATATGAACCTGAAATCAGTAAATAAATCCCCACAAACCTCCAGATTATTCCAATTTTTACCAGAATTGCTATAAATGAGCACAGGTTGCATATAATTCAGGCGTTTAGGTCTGCATACATTCACATCTGTACCAAATAAATTAGTCGTTGCTTAATGTTCTAAGCCAAACGTAAGCAATTTCAAGAAGACGTTTAATTATATCAACAGTGAAGAATAAAGCACGACAAACGTAGTGACCCTACAACGAATACAAATTAACAAATCAGTTCAACAGTGTCAATCGGCTCAGTAAAGAACTGAATCCTAGATGAAAAACCAATTCAGTTCACTAGAGAGTCAACCAGGATAAAATTTAAATACAGCAGTTTCCTATAGTTGCCCACAACCAATCAACATAATGTGAAGACAAATATCCCCAAAAAGACCATACGAACAGGTTGAAAAAATAAACGGTTATGCATATACAAGCGAATACTACTGAATAGCGTCGGTTGAGAAAATTTAGTAATTTAGTAAAACATTCATATCCGTCGGTAGTACTGATTTGCTTATTGGCTAAGATGAGTACTCAGGTTACTGAATGCACGTTAAAATGTAAATCACTGAGTTGATTTTCGCTAAATTATTAAGGAAGTATATCACAAAATATTGCGACAAAGTACAGTAACGATATGCGAAAACGTATGTAAGCAGTTGAAATCCTAGTGAAGGTTGTCGATAGTACTCAGTTGTCAAAGCTGAGTTTCTTATCAATCGTTGTGTATTCAATACCTTCCTACTCATGCCATTCTTTTCGCTCATACTGATATTTATATAATCCCGTCAAACTTTTATGAAGTTTTTGCTCTATTGTGGTTTGGGACAATTTAAACTAATACAAGTTTGTACATGGACTAACTTTGTCACGCACTTATGCACAACAACCAGTGGGTATAAGTTTGGATTTCACACGAAAATAGATCGATTAATGAATATCATCACTAGACGGTATATTTGTATTTGGAATTGGGATCTACACTTACTGTGTGAAAGATCAAACATGTTACACGTCGCATCAGCAAATTAAAGTAGACGGTAACAGGTAAACGTTTTACTACGGTGCGTTGGTTGGGCTTATGAATTGTATTGGTCAATTAGTTTCGGGTTAAAACCTTGAACTACCGACTTCGAAGTGGACAACTAAGTTGTATCAAAACCTTCTTATAACAAGTGTGGCTTGTGGCACAGTACGGGAGGAAATCTGAATAGTACTGAGTTGAAGTCTAATGAATTACCTGATATTGTTCATTGAAAAAATACAACTAAGAAATGGTTAAAATACTATATCTAACAACAAGTTACCCACTTTCCTCCTGTGATAACCACGGAGGAATCAACCTAACGAACATGGTGTTGAAGATTCTTGGTCCTATAACCATTAGACGTATGAGTGGAGCTCAGGAAGAGCGAACCATGTAGGCTTCAGACCTGGTCATGAGTGTATCGGGCACACTTACTGACACCCGACATTGGTTATATTTCTAGACCTGGAGGTGGCATTTGACTTCGCTGATCGAGAGATTTTATGGCAGTTTCTCTCACTGAAAGGGGTACCGAATGAGCACATAATTCTATTAAAGGTTCTTTACTCGAAGACCCGTGGGCATGTTACAGCCTATATGAATTGCCAGGTGAGCTGTGTACATCGAGTGGTGTCCGTCAGGGATGCTCATACTTTCCACTTTTATTCATTTTTGTCATAATGTTCTAATACAGGTCTTCCTATCGTCGTCTGACTTCACAAGGATTGATCTAACCACTCGAGAATACTTGTTATATCTGGAATATACAGTTCATATAATCCTCTTAGGTGAAGACAGTGACAAGATGCAGAGTCTTCTAGACAACTAGAGTGGCAAATCGCAAATAATTGGGATGCGCTTCTCGCCAACTAAATGCAAGTTGTTGATCCATGACAAGTCCTCAGCGGTTCCCTGTCTAATGATATACAGTGAAATGATTGAGTGCGCTGACCACTTTACTTACCTGGGAAGTCGCATCATACCTGGTGGGTCAACTACCGACGAAATCTGTGCACGGATACAAAAGTTTTAACTGGCTTTTGCCCTCTGTGGCGCCATTGAGATATACGACTGCCTATTAAGGGTTGAGTGTACTGTGGCACATTTCACTATGTTTTGCTGTGTGGCTGTAAAATTTGCCCATTAAAGATAGAGGGCATGAGAAGGCTTCCGATATTTGACTACCGTTGCCTTCGTAGTATAGGCCATTTGTCAAGGTGTTACTATGTCATTAACGCAGAAATCAAGCGTAGAGTTGAAAGAACTGGAAAGTCAGTGGATTAAGTCATGAACATTCGATTCCGGTGGTTTGGACATATGTTATGCATGCTTAGTCACTATCTGCGTCGTTGCACAATGTTAGATGAAGTATGTTCAAGCTGGAGAGAACCTCTGAGCGATCAGACTAAAACATAGTGTCACTACGTGAAGCCTTTGACTGTCGGTTCGAGCCATGTAGGGAGATGAAGACTAGCCAGTTGGGGTCCATGTGACAAAAGAAACCAGCGGTTGGCGTCTGTTTGATATGGCTCAAAACCTAAGCCAGTGCCATAGATGTATCCCCACACATTATCTTCATCTTAACAACTACACTGAATTCAGTATTTCCTCAGTCCTCCTTCATCTCTTTTACTACTATCTACTGCTTTTCTTCGATCTTTGTCTTTCATCTTATTACTTTGTATATTCATGTGCTGATATGAAGTGTGATGCCTGGTCCTACGTTGATATTGACTGAAGTAATTCACTAGCACCTAAACTATCCCTCTACTGTCGTTCCGCACGGATCTTGTGTTTTATATTTCAATCCAATATAGTACATTCTTCCTGCCTGTATCCTAACCAGTCTATCGCTACTATGTTGCTATATATACTACCGGAATGCATTCTTATAGGTAGCTGTCAATAGACTGATACATACACAGTATTGGGCTACATTTATTATTTTATGAATGACCAGTCATAACTGTACTGGTCGAAAGGCTTTTTCTGTTGCATTCGTCCATACTAGAAAAGTTAGGGAGCAATGAAACTAATAGTGGTTAACTTATACTTTTTAATTTCACACATGAGATAATATAAAATAATGACGGTTAGGAAAAAAGCCTTATTGCTGGTTGAATGAGATGTAACAGCAACTGGACATTTCCTAACATGATCCAGTAGAAAGATGGATAAATAAGTAATAAAAACATGAGATCTGGTATTACTGCATAACGGTTCAAGTTGCAGTGCCTCATGTCAGTACATTAAGCCAAAATGCACCAAGAAGACAAGGAAATAGGAAAGCAGTCAAAAATGATTGGAATTCGCGAAAACAACAAAAAGAGACGATAATGAAATTCATTATGACGACTATGATGAAAATAGTGGGTGCAGGCATCTACGCCATTCAGACCGATTCGGAGCCAATTAACACAGAATCACTGAACACTGCTTTCTGGTGCCAAGAGGACCACAACTGGGAAGTTTACATCCCCCCATATGATTCAAACAAATAGTCAAAGACTTTATGCACTAATGACATATTTTATTCTGGTTATCTCTAACCTTTCTCTAACCCACATTTATTTCAGCTAACATTGTGCGGTGAGGCGAATGATAACTAGGTATCCGTAACAACCAGCTCAGTCGGTGAGTTTACAACCTCATCAACTGCCTTCTGTCTTCTGACCAGAAAACGACACATGACTTCTACGTTACTGATATGGTGGTAACATGATACACGGTCTACGCTACGAAGACAACGGTGGTTGAACGCCAAAACATTTTTCATGTTCTCCAAGTTTTATGTGCACTCAGCACCAAACAGGTAATCAGATAACACAACAGCACCGTAAATGGCACAGCTTAGAGGAAGTCAAGAGATCCGTACGGAGATTTTGTCGTTCACTGACCTACCAGAGCTGATTCGACTTTCCAGTATCCTTAGCTGGTGGTGCTTCTTCGCTGTCTAAAAGAGGAATCAAAAATGAACCAGCCTAGAAATAGGACATCTGTCTCGTTCTACGAAATTCCGCTACTTTCGACTAAACGTTTTGAAGCAGAGACCGAACACATTAAAATCTACATAAAAAACTACCAAAGGTCTCATGTGATCAGTCTCATATAAGTGTTACTGCAGTCAAATACTCAGTTTAACACGATCGTCTATGCTAATTCTTTTTCTTTTTCAGGTACCTTAACAAAAAAGTAGCATTCAATGATATAGGAGGCCAAGAAGAGTTATCCATCCTAAAACTCCTGTCACAGAACTTAAGGTTTATATCTCTACACTGTATGCAAATGAGCAGAATCCTCCTTCCCTATCACAGTGATTTTTAGTCATGACCTTACATAGGAGTCTAATGACAACATTAATTTGTTAGTGTATATAACATAAAAAGTGAACAAATAAATTTCTCAATATACAAAATAGCAGGTTCAAACCTGTAACTGTGGAATGCAGTGGCTTATTTGCCTTAGTGCTCAACTTAAAGACAGTGAGTTACAGTTTCTAAGCTCACTTTAGCTATCAAGGTTCGGACAGTTAGATAGTAGTCACTATCCATCAGGCACGACTGGTTTTCTAGTGATAAGACCTGCATGCGGAGAATGAATTGGATCGTTAATACTTTACTTACTACTGTTGAACATCAAATAAAAATATACACAAAAAACCGAAAAATATTAGATTACAATACAAGATGAAAAATCAAGTTACACCACGTACATCTAATTCACGAAAAATACAAACCAATTCTTTCAATAAGGGAATTAGAACCGAGTGTAAAAAATTCAGCTGACTACTGGATTTTACTACACAATCTGGATCCATATAGACAGCAACAGGAAGACCAGATCGTTTCTCAGCATCGGCCTGAAAAAGAGAGAGAGAGAGAGGGAGAAAGGAAGAAACAGAACCGATGAGCATGATAAGTCGACTAAACCCAAAAGTCACACGGCAAAAACTTCCCAAAAAAAGTATTTCATTCATTTACCGCAGCTTTTCAACAAAAATCTAATTTTATCCTGATGATTATACAATGGAATATATGACAAAAAAAGCCTCTCTAGTCAGTTGAAATAAATACTGCAGCATCCAATTGCCTCAGATACAATTCACTTTTCGGCTTCAAGAACAATTCAGATTTGAATCAACAAGAGATACAGAAAGATTAACGCCTAGATATTTTCATCATAAGCATTGCAAGTTGTCACTATCACGGTTTTCAGGACTTTTGTATGAAAAACTTGAAGAAAAAAAGCATCAGAAAAATAACAGCGGATATGTGACTCGCCCTGTTTAGGCTTCCGACCGTGAAAAACCAATAAGTTATGGGTTCGAATCCATTCTACTTACATCACTTTAGGCAATAGAGTAACATTATAAGTGCTCACAAGTTAAGTTTAAGTCACAGTCTAATAAGATAAAACGTGTACAGAGCTGTTGGAGATACAGAAAACTCACGTGATGGAAATATTACACATTGAAATCTAATCGCTATTAACAACATATAAGAGTGAATGTTTCAAAATTCTAATTCAGCCCTTTATCCTACTTAAACTTAATGCACAAGTATATGCAAGAAATATGAAAATTCATGAAACGCCTCAGCTGCTGCTACATCATTTATAATGTATAAGTAATACATTTCATAATTACTCAGTGAATACTACAAATATTATAGGATATCGATGAAATCGGCACAGTAGAAAAACAATTTCTAGTGTGAGAATGAGCACAAAATTATTTTCCTTAAAGTGATAAAGATAGAAGGTAAATATGCTACATTAGAAACAGTGATCTTGTATCATGCTTAATGAAGAATGTGACATTCAGTATGTACACAGTTTTGCTTTTACGCTTTAGGTTATATCTAATAATTTACTGTCAACAGCCACTAAAAATATCTCTACGAGAGTAGCGAGCTTGACTAAATTTAGAAGCATAAACGCTATCAAGATAAGTAGTCTAGCGAGAAAGTCAAACACTGTTAAGTGAAACACAATCATACCAAAGGGGAGTGGAAAGTAACAATAGTAACAACAGAATTGGATGAGGGAGAGAAGGAATAGTTACTGGATGTTAATTCATCAAATCAACCTTTAATGTATAAAAATAGGGTGACCCTCTAAAGACTACCCTAGTAGCAACTGAAACCGCCAGTGAGATTTCTTTACTTCTGTCGGAAAGACAGATTTTCATAAAATAAAGAAGTCTGATTGGTTATTTCAGTTGTTGCTAAGGTGGCCTTTACAGTTACTCGAAATCTAGTAACAATTTAATACACATTTTTGACACATGGAAATACCGACTACCAGTAAAATCGAAAAATCACCAACAATAGGAAAATCAGAAACTAATGTTAAAGTTTGCATATTTTGAATAGTTTATGGATAGATTGTACTCAAAACGTTATCAAGCAAATAATACTATGTCAATGCCTGCTCGGCCAAATCAACAAATGCACTACAAAACTATACGATACCACAGTGACTAAATTTTTACACACCACTTACTACCTAAATGGCTAGAAAGTATTTGAAATGAGATTGGTGATCTGAACTGACGTTCGATTATCTAACCAAACATATGATATCCAGTAGTGAGAACAAAAAACGTTTCCTGTGAAGTCTTCTAATTCATCGCCACACATTAATGGATACAATTCAACAGATTAACAAATTATTTTGATTGACTTTTTGTTCATCATCTTAAATACCGAACACGGAACAAAATAGCAAAAGCACTTTGAATTAAATGAAACAGATCAAGAATACTGATAGTTCCCTTCGAATAAATAAAGGTTTTCTAAGTTTTTAAGCATCATATTTGAAGAATACTCATGGTAAATCCAGCTGCCTTTAATGCTTATGTATAGAATAATGAATCAGAACAGTAGTTCGATAACGTTTCAGATATCTGAAGAAGGTTAAAATAATTAACACCCAAAGTTTATGTCCAAAATGACTGCTTAGAATCAATTATGAAAGAAATATTTAAATATTTAGTACCTCAGTAGTCTTGTTTTGACAGACAACAAGATTTGAACCAGTAGTCTTCCAACTTCAGTCGTGAATGTAATCAAACACCTAAGAAAAGTGTTATTCATTTTCGCATTAATGATGTCTTAAAGTGAATTGCACAAATGTAGTGGCTGAACTCATGAATAATAGTACTTCGCAGAGAAAATATTATGGCAAGTAACACCAACTTGTCTCATAACTAAAATGAACTTTATTGAGTAGTAGAAGGATATCCTGTAAAAAGTATGCATAGCACTTTGGCGATAGCGGGAGAAAAACGTTTTATCATTTCAGGTTTCACCAGTCAGATAAGCTTGCAAGTCAATGCCCAGTAACGGTAGTTTTACACACCACAATGTTACTACTCCTGAAACTAGGTTACATACTAACTTGGTATTACTTTAGAAAGGTTAGTTAAACTTTCCTCACCGGCATTACAAGAATGACGAAATCCATATTTGCTTTTATTGTGAACGAAGTAAGCAATCGTCCATGACCTAGTGAATTTAAGACCACGACACAATGTTTACCAATGACTGACTAGAATTCAGATGGATTACCCAAATTTCTAATTGGAAGTCGTAATATGTATGCTGACCTAAACATATTCTGAGGTGACTGACACTAGAAAATTATTATTATTATTATTATATTATTTGTCCTCTTGGGTTCCTAGTGGAAAATAAGGCTTCAGTTGCACGTCTCCATTCTACTCTGTTATCTGAAGTCTTTCGAACTTCGCTCCACAACTACCCACAAGCTTTCATTTCTTCCTCATATCATCTCCTCCATGTCACCCTCGCCTCGCCTCGCCTCGGACTCCCAACTCCTCCTTTCCCCTTTGAATTCCACTCAACGACCTGGCCTCGAGCACGATGTCCCCAAATGACCTTCTCAGTGTATGCCCAGTCCAGTCCAGTCCAGTCCAATCCATCTCCAATTTCATCTTCTGCATAGTTGATGGGCGATGGATTCTTGCCTCGTTGGTTCGTTGCCAGTCAGCCAACCAGATTTCCTTGTTGCTTATTCTTATTATTCTGGCCATCTGATCTGATCTTCAGTATCGAGTGAGGGTAGGTGGCAGCTGTTGATGATGTACATCTGTAGTTTGTTGGAAATGCTTTTCGTGATGCGTCAAGTTTCTGAACCATCACACAGAAGCACTGACTTGACATTAGTGTAGAAATCAGGATGTTGTTCACGCTTTATGCTGAGTGCAGTGCAGTGCAGTGGATCTCCACACTGGTTTCACATTAGTCAAGTCCCGTCCTCGCTACCCTGCCTCTCCTACCAACTTGTTGCTTTTCCCCTGTAGATCTTAGAGTTTGTGCGACAGGACATTACACATAAACCATCATCGTTGGCGAAATCCAAATCTTCTTCTGGGGTCTTTTCATCGGTCATGCAGCGTATGGCCCTCTTCTCGCTCCTCACACTTTCTTGCATAGTACAGTCCACCACAATCAGGAAGATCATCGGTGATAGTAGGCGGCAACACTGTCTTACTCCTTCCTATCCCCTGTCTTCACTTCAAAGGCGTCACTGAACTTTCCATTGTAGTGTGAATCACTCAGCATGTAACATCATATAGCATGTAGCTGCTGTTCAATGTGGTTGATAAAGGTTTGTGGAACTAAAAGCGTAGTGTTCAAGCAGCTGTCTGCCAAATTACTTCTCGGTCGACGCTGTCGAAGGCCTTTTCAAAATCGATGAAGTTGAGGTAGAGAGTTGATTGCCATTCTATGCTCTCTTCTATGATGATGAGTAGCGTAACGTTGAAATTTGGTCCGCACATGATTTCTACTTCCTCAATCCAACCAGCCTGTTCCGGTAGTAATTTTGAATCCAGCGTATCTTTTAGTCTCTCCAGGATGATGCGGCATAATATTTTGCTTGCTTTGGGTGGATAGGAGCATGACTCCTCGCCAGTTCTTGAAAACATTTAGGTCTCCCTAATTCGTGAGGTAGGTACCTTTCCTTCCTTCCTTCATTCCAAACCTTCTGCAATAGTGGTTTGAGCATGTCCGCTGCTGTCCCTGCATCTGTTTTCAGTGGTTCTGGCGGGATTCCATCTGGTCCTGGTGCTTTCCCGGATTTTAGTAGCCTTATGGAGTGACACTGGAAAATGGGGATCATAACAGAAAAACCAACCTAAAAAGGGATTGGTAATATGGTCTCTTAGAAATCCGTAGGTCCTTCTTTCGATGCCATTGTCATGGTATTAGAAGAGTACAGATAATAATGTGCTAGGGCAAGACCAGCCAGTCAGCAGCCCTGGTTTTCAAAAACTTCATGCAAGATAAAGAACGATCAGTCTGATGAGAGGAATTTGAGTTGAAACCTCTTTTGATGGTGTTGTATTCTTTGAGCTAGGTGGTTTAATCGTGAAGCTTTCATTTTCATTCCAGATATTATCAGCATAAACTTCAGAAAGAAGTCTACTGGTCAGTAAGGTTTTTGGAATCAAACACTCTACATGTTTAGAGAATAGCGAACTCTAACGATTTGATTTTTTAGTCCTATTGTCCATATCTGTGTAGTAGGCAATGAGCCACACCTATTATGTGAGGGGTAGTGATAATATTCGGCTGCCCAAACCTAATTAAGTGGAGCTGAGCTAGAACCCGTGGCTAACGAGTATCTATGAGATAAGAGGAAATCATTACGAAGATCTATTGATTATTTGAGTCATACAGGAGAGGTAGTCGGTTCGAGTTGCCAGAGTAGCAATAATCGGTTTGTTATAGTATACAGTAAGCCACTGTTTGCTTTCCTGCCTACATAACTTTTTTTCTATACGTTTCGTCAACCATCTCAGATTGTGCCTACCAGAAGTTCTATATTGAGTTAGTTTACCAATCAGTTAGATAAAAATAAGAAGAGGGAAGAAAAACAGAATAAATTCGACAGTAACTGAACTGTCAACCTTGTAAAATTAATTCTGCTGTATAAACTACAAGTTAGTGGTTATTTGCCACCTTTTAAGATTCTCTAAAAGCAACACATTTCTCAGTTACTATGTCATATATTAAAATTCATTCTACCTTTTGTAACCGACGTAACAATATAGAATCCTGTCATGATACATATATGTACAACTTACAGCCCGCTTTTTATTATTGAGTTGTCTTAAACATTGCTTTGATTTATCAAAAAGTAACTTATATCTTTGCCTGTATGGACTAGTAGCATGTAGACTATATAGAAATAGTGGTAAAATACACAAAATAATTAAGCTACAAACTAGCATTCAATACAGTGACGATAACTTAAGCTGGGAGAAAAAGCGAGGACTGCAATCGTTATCGAAATGATAGCTTCCAGGAAACTTTCTTACACTGCAAATACAATTACTAATATGTCATATAAATATTTCGAAGAAGAAAAATAACTCAAACAAACCTGCATAAAAAACTCATTGAATAAACAATCCGACCAAGCATCAGCAACTGATGGTGGACGAGTTTCATTCGACACATCACAAATTTTTAGTAGTATCATTAAAAATCTTAACAAATACTCTGGTTGTTCATTAATTAACACATTTAACAAGGAGCGTATACATGAATCATCATCCTTAATATTGATATGTTGTTCATACTCTTCTTTCATTATATGTTTTTGTTCTTGTTGTTCGCTTTCTGAAACATTATTATGCTGTATAACTTGATTTTCCCAATGAGAGGTTAATCCACATGAAGTAGACGGTGGATGAGCAGCCACAGGAAGAGGTGTAAATGAAACTAACTGAGGGGAAGGAAATACTGAATGATGTTGATGATCAGCAGCATTATGATGATTTACACTATTATCATTGTTCTGTATTGACGATTGGGGAGAAATTAAATATATTTGTTGTCGTAAATTTTGAAATTGTGAAATACAATCAGCATGAATAGCCATATCTGTACTCAGAATACATCTGTTCATGGTTTGATATGAATTTGGCATACATTTGACGTTTTTGTTTTGTTTTCGATATAAGAGTGAATGATTGACATGCAAAAAATATGCAAAGAAATAATGAGTAAACTATCCATTTTTACACAACAATAAACTTATTTTAAGCTAAATGCATGTATTTGAGGCTGTTATTCATCATGGATCGACATCGATTGGTGAAACATTGGGAACTTCCCAGGTTTTCAATGATGAATATCAGCCTGGAATCGATGAAATCTTCACAAGCCTTCAAATTAAATTATTCTACTGCTCATTGGTGAATAGCTTCGAGAGGTGATTCTCGAAGTTCTAGTGAGAAGTGACCACTGGGGCCAACAAAGTCGAACATCAGGACAGGTACTCAAAGATGGCATTGAATGGAGGTCGAGCGATATCGTGAAGTGACAGAGGTAGGAAATACAGATCACTGGGTTTCGATCCAGTGGCCCAATGGTGACATGCTGGCAGTGGAACTTGAAGGTTCTTGGTTCGATCCCTGGCGGGGTCATGGGTGTGCAGTGCTGAGGAGTCCCATATTAGGACGAAACAGTTTTCTAATGTTTCCCCAACTGATGTCGGTCCATAATGAATACCAACCTGAAATCAATGAAATCCCTACAAGACTTCAAATGTATGTATTTTAGCCTAAAATAGTGTAGCAGGCAGAGATTTACTTAGGTGAAAGTCAAACCCTAGTCACCATTCTTCTGGAGGGTTGTGAAGTTGGAGACAAGTCCACAGTATACTTGTCACAGCAAAAATCATGAAAGAGAAAATTTATCTTGTTCACGTATCAGCCCTACTAATGAATTAAATGATTGAAATTTCAAGAATCTTTAGCTTTATTTAGGGCATTTGCACACAGACAAAAGCATCCAGAGAAAAAGTTTAAACAATGTATTATTTATGATGAAATCCTGTCAACAAAGGAATTAGTGTAGTGGTGTTAATTTCAGTACTCATTATTTGAAACGATTGAAAAAAATTGTGGCTTAGGATGAGGATGGCGGTGGTTCGCTGCTCCACCTCTCTCTGTTGACTGACATTTCGTTTGAATGCTATGCTTTCAGAAATTCTTTTGCAGTCTCAAACCGGATCTTTGGAGCATTTCCACATTCTCTCAGTGAAATTTGCGATCATGATTGTCTGCATGCACTGGAACCAGAGAGGCCGTGTCACGTTGCTTCACTGATAGTTGTTTACAAATTCTCTGAGCAATCCAACGGTCAGACTGGTCAACATAGTGTTAGGAACAGTCTTTGCAGCTGATTTTGTAGATTATATTTACCATGTCTCCTTTTGTCAGTGGATTCTTTGGTTTTCATAACATGATGTGTAGTGATTTCGTTAGTTTGTGTGCTACTCCGATTTCAAACGGACGAAGCTATAGGTCGACTGTTTGTGAGATATATTTGATTTAGGGTACAATAACGCGTTTATTGATTTGAGGCAATTGCAGTCACGCAGTCAATGCTCCTCTATATGGCTCAGACCAGCAAACAGACTGCATAAATTGGTTCCATTTCTTCATATGTCCCAACTCCTAGTTTCCCTTGACCTACTCCTATGCCGACTAACATCGTACACTGAACCTTAACAATGAAGTTTGACAAGTAATTTCGTACTTAAAACAAACTCGACTTTATCTTACAATATGAATTCCATTTTATCGACAACCTTCAGCCTAAACAGAGTATCAGCGGTGATAAAAATTCTATCCAACCTTCTTTGCAGCTCTAAAACCATTATGTCTAAAAAGAAACTGTCAATTAAATTTGAAATTCGTGATAACTTTAAGCAATATAAAACACGTGAAAGATATTTTACTAACGACTCTCCCTATCAACTAAACTGATGTACCATATGCACTGACTGAAATTTATTCGGTGAATTTCCTTCGAACAAAGGAATGAGACAAATGAAGAGAAGAGTCGTATAACTAGGTGTGATTTAACTGACTTCAATGCGGTAACAGGCTATTATAAACTATATTTCGAATCCGAAACAATATATAGGACATCACAGGAATAAGCTATGGACATGTTTCCTTTTTTCGTTAAAACAACAAAAAATCCCTCTACCAGATGTGATATTTCACAGTACCTCTGATATTTTTATAAACTGTACAATATATTGTGGAACTAGACAAATGAAATATTGAAAACAAACTCATCAGGAACCAATTTATTGCTCTGAATCAGCAGAAATATGTACGACATGTGCGGATTTACCATAGTTACACACAGATTGAGTTTACTTTGTCGTAGTGGAGCTGTGGTCCAGTGGTATCGCCACCAAAAATGTGAATCATGAGTTGGAGCTGCACTCTCTTTCATCATAGTCTAAACGACCGCTTGATATAACCACCTTCTATAAATTATGCATGACTTACAAGCCTAGTGCACGAATCACGAAGTGGTTGGTGAATTTCATTCCTAATTTACTAAAAACTAATTATCAATTAAAGAGATAAGTAATTCAGCTTATTAAAGTATCATTCATGGTAATCATTATGATTATCTGAGTTGTTCATTGTCTAAAGAGGTGTATGTATGCACAAGAGATAATCATAATGACTAGTTCAAACAAATCAATCAAACATACGCTTAAGTCAATGTTCAATAGGTGACCTACTTATTTTCTTTTTTCTATACTGTAAAAGGATTAAAATATTTGAAAAAAAATCCTAAGGGAATGAAAAATGGGGAGAAAAAGATTGACCTGTATTTCACCTTTTTTCTCCTAACCACATAAACACTGCTAAATTAATAACATAGAAAATAAGAGGAATAAATTTACAAAAGTAAAGAACATATGGACGTAGACGAACCTTATCACAGATCTGCGGAAGTGGCGTGATTCGAGCCGTGTTAAACCACTGGTTATATTTGTCGTTGGGTTCGAGATAATCTCGAACGCTGTTACGCAATGATGATTTTCTAACGGCGATATATCATTGTAGCGAAGTGCAAGCCAGGATCCAGAGTTTACCTGGTTGGAAAAATGGAAAGAGACTGATGAAACAAAGCAAAATAATTAAAAAGCAACAACTAGAGAATATATTCGACCATGAATCGATAAATCACTGCTAAAGAGCTAGCAAGGCAATCTTTAGATATTCCTTAATAGCGTTTACTAGTCGAATTCTTTATCAGAATCTCACTTCCTATGTAGAACAGGTTAATAATAAATAAAAACTGGACTAAGATTCTAGTATGACATAACGTTATATATGTAAACAAACATAAATAAAAATGACTGCATGCAAACATATGTAACGGACAGCGAAGTGAGAAACTGGATAATCACATCTAATAAACGCAGAGTTCAGAATGGTAAAACTGACAGAACAAGTAAGATTTTCATTGATAAGCCAGTTAGGTACATACATTTGCTGACATCAGCAAAATTTCATCCGCAATGTGTTAAATTACTACAGAACCAGTTCAAATTCAATCATATTAAAAACGTTTAAGTTCTTCAATATAATTTCCTCATGTATTTCTCCAAATCATTCTATTTACTATATGATAAATAAATTCTTTTCACAAACATAATGGAATACGCAGTAAACATAAGGTTACATAAAAGAGTGAAGCTGTTGCGACGGGAAGTTTGAAATCCAAATAATGTATCAATAGTTAACAACACAAGTAAAGTACGATATCCGTTTAGAAAAATCTACCGCTTTCTTATGAGTAAGTGGTTTAAGTGAATCGCAGAAAGAGGTTAACCTTGATGTGTGCCTGTAATCTCAGCAAACGTATTTTTTCAGTAAAAAGGACGCAAAAGAAGGAGAGAAAGCATTAAACGTCATCCAAATTAGAACTATGAGATTTGACACCAACCTTGTGAAAAAAAGAAAAGGGAAATACACCAGGACATTGTAATTCGCTTGATAGCCATGAAAAAAGGGAAATCGATTCATAAACATTTCAAGCATATGTCAATAACTAATAACGATTAAGAGCAATAATTATTCCAATCAACTAATTGTTGTTAGGAAACCGCCTTTAAATAAATGCCTTCATATTGACCTAAAACCTCGCCTGGTCAACTAGTTCACTAGTTACTAAACAGTGATCAGCCCGGATAAAGAGGGAAGCCTTGGAATACTGATAGCAACTCTACCCATAAAACCAAGCCAACCACAGCACTAACTTCAAAGCACACACAAAATATAAATCATAAAATTAAACTTTTTCCTCACTGGAATCCGATAGGCGAAATGACGCCAGTTGGTGAAAGCCTTCACGAAGCCAATTGACCAATGTGTCTCCCTTCTCTTCTCTCGATGAAAGCAAAAGTAAGCATAGGGACACGGAATGAATGTCTGAACAATGTTTGAAGCTGACTGGCTGGATGGCTCGCTGGCTGGCAAGACTACCCAGATTGCAAAAGAGATGAGAAGGTATGGCGTGGGAGTGCTGGACTGGGAATATGTGAGTAATCTGCAGATGGAATGCAAGTGGACTCTGCAAACTGTCAACTAGAGAGTCAATCCAATCCACTCCGATATTGTCACCCAGATGATAACCACGAGCATACTGAGTTTTCGAGTGGCTATCATGATGTCCACCTCTCAATAGCATCGAAGGTTCTTGTGCAGTGGGAACCAACCTCCTCATGTATCAGGATCAGGATTAGGATCAGGATCATGACAGCAAGGTTCATCTCAGAAGGAAGGAGAGTCACAATGATACAATGCACTGTGCACTGTGCACCTACAAATAATGCATATGAAGAGAAGAAGGAGGAATTCTACAGACAACTGCAATCAGTAGAGGACAGGAGAAGACAAGACGCCACCCCAGTTGTCGACATCAAACTCATTCTAATGGGTGAGGTGAGATGAATGCGGAACTGTGAGCGGACAAGTCAGGAAGAGAAGTGATGATGGGTCGAGAAGTGCTGAGTGATTGAAATGAATGAGAATGGAGAAGTGTTTGCAGACTTCTGGGCAATCAATGGCTTGGTGATTGGAGGCAGTGTGTACAAACAAACACAAGGATATTCACAAAGCGAGCGACATGGATTTGATTTCACGAGACATGAGGACACACTCCACTAAGAATCAGATCGACTTCATCTGAATGTGAAGAAAGTGGAGATGGAGACGCAGTCAGTCAGCCTACTGGAGATAAGATGAGATGAAGAAGGTGAGCAGATGTAGGTTGACACCACTCACCTGACTATCTAGTGCAAGGAACCTACCTTGAGAATCGAGTTTGAAGCCTTCAAAGTAGTTGGTGATGATGGGCCACAGTTGAAGTTCAACGCCCACCCAGAAAGTGAAGGAGGAAACTACAAGGGACATCTTCACTTCAGTCAGTCAGTCAGTCATTAGGACAAATGGGAGGGAGATATTGAGGAACATGTATGAAGGTGTCTGCTTGTAAGAACACTGGAACTCTTAGAAAGAGATGTGGAAGGAAAGCTGGATAGATATGCTAAGAAGGATAAGGAAGAAGAAAGAAGACAAGGAGAATGGATCTCTACGGAAGTCCATATGGAGGCTGATATAGCAGGGATTGAGGAAGATGGTGAAGGCGAAGGAGAAGATGAAGGAGTGCGGTGTAGTTTAGTGCAGGGCAGGACAGTTCAGCGCCGCGCAGTGCAGGGGTGTGCCAGGATGAACAACGAAAAGAGGAACTGAACACAACCTATAAAGAAACACTCCAGTGGAGAAGGAAGTGAAGAAGAGTGTGTGCAATGAGAAGAGACATTTGTACGACACACTGGTAAGTGAAGCAGAACAGGCTGCTGGTTGGTAGGAGAGACCTGACAACATTGTACCAAATGACCAGGTTACTTACTGTCTGGGAGGGAAGAGATCAACACAGGTGAAACGAATGAAGGATGGTGGAGGAAATTTAATTGGCAAAGTAGAGAAACGATGGTCTGACCACTTCAAAAACTCTTGAATCTATCATCAGCAGCACAGCCACAGAACTACCAGTGAACATAAATCCTCCAACAAAAGTGGAAGTCCTGAACGCCATAAAGCTACTGAAATGAGGAAGGCAGCAGGACCAGATAAAATCCCTCCAGAAGCACTGAAAACAGATGCAGGGACAACAGCGGACATGCTCACATCACACCACAATTGCAGAAGTTCTGGAGGAAGAAAAGGTACCTGTTGGTTGATTGGAAGAAGGGCTACCTTGTCAAACTCCCGAAGATGGGAGACCTAAATGTTTTCAAGAACTGGCGAGGAGTCATGCTCCTATCCACCCAAAGCAAGCAAAATATTATGCCGCATCATCCTGGAGAGACTAAAAGATACACTGGATTCAAAATTACTACCGGAACAGGCTGGTTGGATTGAGGAAGTAGAAATCATGTGCGGACCAAATTTCAACGTTACGCTACTCATCATCATAGAAGAGAGCATAGAATGGCAATCAACTCTCCACCTCAACTTCATCGATTTTGAAAAGGCCTTCGACAGCGTCGACCGAGAAGTAATTTGGCAGACAGCTGCTTGAACACTACGCTTTTAGTTCCACAAACCTTTATCAACCACATTGAACAGCAGCTACATGCTATATGATGTTACATGCCGAGTGATTCACACTACAATGGAAAGTTCAGTGACGCCTTTGAAGTGAAGACAGGGGATAGGAAGGAGTAAGACAGTGTCGCCGCCTACTATCACCGATGATCTTCCTGATTGTGGTGGACTGTATTATGCAAGAAAGTGTGAGGAGCGAGAAGAGGGTCATACGCTGCATGACCGATGAAAAGACCCCAGAAGAAGATTTGGATTTCGCCAACGATGATGGTTTATGTGTAATGTCCTGTCGCACAAACTCTAAGATCTACAGGGGAAAAGCAACAAGTTGGTAGGAGAGGCAGGGTAGCGAGGACGGGACTTGACTAATGTGAAACCAGTGTGGAGATCCACTGCACTGCACTGCACTCAGCATAAAGCGTGAACAACATCCTGATTTCTACACTAATGTCAAGTCAGTGCTTCTGTGTGATGGTTCAGAAACTTGACGCATCACGAAAAGCATTTCCAACAAACTACAGATGTACATCATCAACAGCTGCCACCTACCCTCACTCGATACTGAAGATCAGATCAGATGGCCAGAATAATAAGAATAAGCAACAAGGAAATCTGGTTGGCTGACTGGCAACGAACCAACGAGGCAAGAATCCATCGCCCATCAACTATGCAGAAGATGAAATTGGAGATGGATTGGACTGGACTGGACTGGACTGGGCATACACTGAGAAGGTCATTTGGGGACATCGTGCTCGAGGCCAGGTCGTTGAGTGGAATTCAAAGGGGAAAGGAGGAGTTGGGAGTCCGAGGCGAGGCGAGGCGAGGGTGACATGGAGGAGATGATATGAGGAAGAAATGAAAGCTTGTGGGTAGTTGTGGAGCGAAGTTCGAAAGACTTCAGATAACAGAGTAGAATGGAGACGTGCAACTGAAGCCTTATTTTCCACTAGGAACCCAAGAGGACAAATAATAATGACAATAATGACTTAAGTTTCGTTTCATCTCCACTAGCTTGAAAATAGCAGTGGAATTCGGGATGTATTTTGTTCCATTTAGGGTTTTTTAGTTAGATGCATCTTCACTCCAGTGAGTTGTAGGTTTCCTACTAAGGCTTGAACACAGTACCTAAATATCACAGCGCTATAAATTAAGCAACTAGCTAACCAGTAGGAACAATACTGTTCAGCAGAATGCAAGTATATCTATCTGACGGGTTTCTAATTGAGAAAAAACGAGATCCTGGGTCTGACTGCTAGCCACCTTCGCGAAAATGAAATCATGTATGGTTTTCACGAGTTCATTGTTCGCGTAATCTAGTTGGGAGTCTGATAACTATGAACCCTATCGTGTGAGATACCACGTTACTCAAAATAATCTTCGCTATGGTTGTTAAAAATAAATTTCCGTCCATTCTTGCAGACTGAAATACTTAACAGTCTAGACTAGTCTGACGGAACTACCCCATATACTACGTAGT